GTGTGTTCTTCACATGGCTTGTGAAATAACGGGAAAGCCCATTATGGGAGCTCTAAAGCAGCTTTCCTTATCGGGTTTCTCGTGTTGAGTGAGATTTCTCCACAGCGTTGTTAATGGAAGCCCTTATAGTGGAGCATATTTAGTTTTAGGGTAGATTTTTAAGTTAATGTCTTTGGCTCTGAAGGCAGTAAGTCATTCAGTGGTTTTAGTGCTGAGCTGGAGGGTTGCCAGGAACACATCTGGCCATGGTTAAGAGGAGCTGTGATGGAGGAGTAGAGATGGAGGCCAGGGAGGGCTGAGTGATAGCTGAGTGCCTCAGATAACCCCTCCACAGCCACACCTAGCTGACTACTTAACGGGCCCTGCAGTGCCTAGCTGCAGGCCTCCTCTGATCAACCCAAGTCTATTCCCATCCCCAGCTTTGTACCACGGGCTCTACTGCATGACTGATTGGAACCGATCAGCTGAATATTGATCTATTGAATAAAATAAACTTGAGCCTCACCGGCTGTCTGATTAGTTAGGAATTACTTAATATATTTAATTACTATAAATTTATAAACAAGACATGTTTAAAGACTAGTTTCAAGCCTATGTAGGAGCTTTGGGATATTAAAAAATAGTTGAAGTTGTCGTGTGGTCAGTGAGTTCTGATGTGAAGACATGAGGCAAACTGTCACAGAGCGCATTAGAGACCAGACAGCATGTAACAGTTTATGATGTCTGTTGCTAAAATTGGTTTAACTTAAGCAGAAGTGTCTCTGTTGCCCTCTTTTTGGAACCCCGTGACAAATTTTTAAAGGGAGTGATTGTGCATTTGCACAAGTTTGTAAAACTTACTCACTCCCAACTCATCCCATACTCCTTAATGGTTTACCCCTTGAAAGACTGCTGGGAGTAACCTTTTGAAGCGCTTTTCTGTACGGAGTGGTTTCTGTCATATTTCAGGCTTGCTTATAGACCAAAATGACTGGGTATGGATCAGAAGTTGGTGAGGGTGGTCTCTGCCTATGCAGCTACCCTTGGGAATACCCAGAAATGGTTCTAATGGTCTTCAAACCACGTCTTTGATATTCGCTGAGGTGTCAAAACTTGTCTTTAAGGGTACAGGCGACGTCATCAGATGTCTTTTTTATGGGGGAAAAGTTTTAAAAAAGGCAAAAACTTTTCTTTGCCAGTTAGTTTTAATTACCGGGGGTTCAAGTTGGGGTTTACCGTTTGGGCCCTTGGTTGTTGCCTTTATTGGTTCACTTGGAACCAAAAGGTTTTCTTCCTTTTTATTTTTTTTTTTTTTTTTTTTTTTTTTTTTTAATCTTTGTGGGATATCTTTCACTCTTTGACAGTAGAAAAATACTCTTCTGGCAAAATCTCATATGTAGCAAGCCTGCAGGATTTTCTTTGCTCCATCCACTGAAAATGACAATTCCCTGGCAGACCTTATTTACCGCAGCATTTAGGGACCTATTAACCTCTAATGGACTAGCCTGCATGTTGAAAAATGGTGCTGAAAGGGTACCCAGTGCTTTAAATCTTGACATGTAAGAATCCTGACGAAGCGTCGCCATGTGATGAGTTGACTCAGAACAGGTTGGAGTTTGAACATGTCTACAAGCTGCACTTGGTATGGCTAAGTGCTTGCTAAGCTCTTGCTAGACCAGTTCTTAGAGCTTATTTTTTGACAGTGCTTGTAAGAATTCCCCAGATTAAGAAGAGTAGTTTTAGGATCTGTTGCATAGATTTGGTGACATCCTTTTTTTTTTCTTTTTCTGAAAGCCTGTTTATTTTCATATGCGCTGATTCATTTCTGTTTACTTGTGCAACATAGTCTTTAACCCCAAAGTGTTTTCACAATAAGTGCATGTTGTAAGAGGATAAAGTCAAAACTTGGAGCTTGACTGTAAACCAGGCACTCCTCTCATTGCTCATGTGCTAATGATGTGTAACCCAGTTGTGTTGTGGTATCAAAATGCAATAACCTTGTGGCTTAGATAACCCTCCAAGAAGCTGGAAAAAAAACTTGGATTTATACGACTAGGAAGACTTTTAGGTTAAACAGAAAGGGAATCGGAGGGAGGGGGGATTTGCACCTCTGGTATCTACTCCAAACTACATGACTTTAAATCATCCATGTAAGCAGACATTTTAGCTTGGCTGTCATAGTTTTGTACACATTCATCAAGGCACTGTCAACTGTAAAACGGTACGAATTAACAGCTTTAATTTATTAACAGCCAACGAGGGAGATTAACTGCGTTGTTATTGAGTTGAATGTATCCCGCAATTATGTGGATGGTCTTTGTGGAAAATCCAAATAGCATCAGATTTATTATTATTATTATTTTTTTTTTTCCTCCCCTGGATGAAAGCGTCACAGCGTTGGATCCAACAAGTTTTCTTTGAGAGTGAGCTCTAATGCTAATGGGAGAGGGGCTGCAGAAGAGCCAAAACTCAAAGACTGTCTTGATTATTTTTCTCCTTTCTGCTGCTTTTCAGTGTTGGCCTTGTTTGTGGTCTGTAGTTAGAAACAAGTTCATGACTCACACAGTGAAATCTTCATTTCCTGTAGACATCCAGGGACCCAGTGCATGTTTGGCTCATTTCTCAATTAGCTGACTAATATGTTGCTGAAGTCACAGGATGCATAAATTTTTGTTTCCAATATAATAAGGCGGTAACTATCACAATAGTACACTGATTAATCTCCCAGTCATTTCTCAATGAACCAATTAATCATTTGGTCTGAAAATGGAGAAAAATGCCTGTCACGTTTCCCCAGAAACTCTTTGTTTTGGTTAAGAAGCTTTAAACAAGTATTAACTACTTAAAGTTTTAGCAATAATGCAATCTAAGATTCAGTTAATTATGTTTGACTCAAAAATCATAATCATTTAATGTCGACTTTTTCAGTGCACATGAGGCATGAGGATGACTGCAGAGTTCCTCGGCTGCACCTGTAAACTAGCAAAACAGACTGCATGTGCACGAGGAGGTGACGGCTACAATGTCAGCCTCTGTGTTGTTTTTGCAGCGGCAACCCCTGGGATCAAAGTGGAGAGGATTAAAGTCATTGTAAAGTGTCCCTCTCATCGCCCCCACCTCTCCTGCCTAGTGAAAACAGAGGGCCCCAAAGCCTGCATTGCTTTTATTGTCATAATCCATACAGTTTCAATTGACTATGGAATGCACTGGCTAAGATGACGACGGTGGTGTCGGCAGGGAGGCTGTACATATGTGTGTGAGAAGCCGTTTTCTCTGTAGCCATGCACAAAGACTGTACAGTGAATTGACACGTGTGTCCGGTACATTGCAGCAGTGGTAGGCAGAGAGACAGAGTATCACTGCAGTGGAGAAGGGGAATACCCATGTGGGTCAGCTCCCAAAAATGTCCCATGTTTTATCTCGTCTCAGGGTTGAGGGGAGGGAGGGGGATGTAGGGAGGCCACTATTTTGGTCCCTTTGTTTATGTAAGGAGTGGCAGTAGGGTGTTAGGAGAGCAGAGAAGTCTGGGAATGTCGGGGCTTCATGGCTTGGGAATCGCATGTTTCTGTTTGGTTCTGTGTATATCATAGTTTTACATGGGTTGTGGGATACAAAAGACTTGAAACTGCTTTCTTTGATAGAAACAATCCAACTCTTGATCTCAGTTCCCGTGTGAAATATATGGTAAAAATGGGGGTCAAACATGTAATTTAATTAGATACAGTAATTGAAGTGCTTGTATTGGGGTTGCAACTCAGGAAATCTTTATTTTCTATATATATATTTTTTTAAATAAGTCATTGTGTTATGTATGAAAATAGCAAAGACTGTATAACATGCAGTGAGTTGTGGACTACTCATTTGATGGCTTTAAAGTTACAGTGTGTAACTTTTCTAGATGTCAGACTGCAGATTGCAGTTAACTTCGTTACTTTTTGCCCTCCCAATTCAAGCGCATAATCCTGGCTATGGTATCTGTAGTGAGTGTAAGCTGTCAGGCTGCTGTTTACCTCGTGTCTGTGCTTGTTTACTCTGGAGGAACCTGTAAAACTTAACAAAACGAGTCTGATACAAGTCAAACAAGCTTGCTTCTGACAGCGATCCTGAGGTGAGTTGTTGAGGATATCCTGTCAGTAAGACCTGCTGTTGTTTATGCTGTTGGCTGGCGTTAGTGTTTATTAGAAAGAAACTGATATTTTTAGGATACTTGACCCTAACATTAGCTAGCATAATGTTAACTTATAACCAGCTGCTGCTGACTTCAGTTCAGGAGATGATGTCTGAGGATGGCATTTTATCCAGAGCCAGTCATATTCTCTTTTCTATTCGTTTTTGCTTCTTTGGTGAAGGAGACGTCTTCTTGAATGATAAAACTAAGTTATGATTGTTCATACATTGAGTTTGGAAATGCAAATGTGAATTAAAATTTGCCTCCATGGTACACAAATGCCAAGAAGCTCTCTTCACTTCCACCTTTGGCGTGCTGCTGTCTCTAGCCACCTAACTAAATTGAGATTATGTGCAACAATGTCCATCTCGGCCTCTGTATTCAAGATGGCATTACAACACGGTGACTTTCATAAACTGATGCCTGCTCCAATATATTTTTAACACATTGGAGCAGGCAAATGTTTAGTTAATTGATGCATTATGAGAATGCATCAGTTTGTTCAGTTACACACTTATACCATTAGTATGTTATGTTTTTTTCCCCCTATTAAATAACCTAATAAATGGACTGACTTTACCTTTTTAATCTTGTTAAGGCCTCAAACGAGTAGTCTTTGTATCCTTTGTGTTTTGGAAAATGGATGTGACCATATTTGGACAGCCAAAGAGCCACCTGTCACCAAATGTGGATACACCAGTTAATTTATAAACCAGTTCACCACCTGTTTTGAATGAGTAGATTTCCTTTTTTAAAAAACAATTTAAATAGCAATGTACAGCATACTTGATAAGACCACAGTGACCTTTGCCATGTGCTTGAATGCTCATGCTTTTGTTTGTTGTCTTTGCAGGGACGACATGTCAAGACTGGACAGCTGGCTGCCATCAAGGTCATGGATGTCACAGAGGTAAGCCTTAAATGTCACCCTACATATACTTTTAAATCAAAAAGATAGATTATCATTGGTGTGCTAAAAATGTTCTTGTGGTCAAATGTAATTATACTCGAGTCTGGTTAACATTAAAATCTGCACACATTCCTCGGGAACTTACGTCTGAATATTTAGAGGTTGCAGAGGAGGAAAAGCCCCGCTCTGTAATGAGTTGTCTTCACTAATAAACAGCAGCAGGGAGGGAGTAGAGGCAACAGGATACTGCTTAATTTTAATTAGATTTTTTTTTTGAGGTAGCTTTGTCATTTAGCAGCAAGCGTGCTGCCCTCAGCTGTGGGAGGTCCCATCTGCAGATGAGAAACAACCACATATGCACACATGCAGAAACACAAGGCAGAAGGTTTGAGGGGAGCAGCGAAGACCAGCAGGGCTAACCACCCACACAGTTGGTTATGATGAAAGCAACATGGGCGTAAAATGCCGGACCCATCCTGGAGCCCAGTTTGAACGTGTCGCACGTAACAGCCTAGTGTTCATCATCTTCCTCAGAGGGGATCACAGCCGACAGCCACGAGCTGAATTTTCACCGGTGTCAGGACACGTTTACTGCTTTGTGGATGCAACATGTTTCTTTCCTACCATCACACAGTCCTCATCAGAAGCTCAACAGGAACTGGTGATGCAGCTCGTGTGCCCTGACATGCCTTTTTGCCACCCCTCACGCGCGCTTACGTCACAATGAGTCAGAGTTACACTCTCGACTGACTTGTTATCGTGTGGGAGAGAATGGACCAGCTGTTTCCTGATGTGTGTGAAACACTAGGTGTGCCTTTTCAGACGTCTAGTCACTCACTGAGAACAGGGAGTCACTCGTCACGAGAAGCAGGTGTCCACTTCACCTAAAACCTGCTTGGCTGTATTTTTGTGTTTTGTTTTTCACCGGTGGCCCTTTTTAACGTCTGTCTTCAGTCTGTTTATGTGTGACTTTGGATGTATTTAGTGCATTACAGTGACTGTTATTAGGTTTAGCCTGTGACTGTGCACTCCCATTGCTATTAAAGTGCCAAAGCTCACTAACTGGTGGACCTCACACAGTGATCTTTAAGTCAGTTTGACTGAGTTAATTAGTAGGCTTCAAACGGTGCTCAAATAATGACTCACAGTTTGATCTGTTATGACCGTACGCCTGAAATATTCAATTACGGAGCTTCAGTTAGATCTGTCAGCTCTTTTTCTGCTTGTTATGTTTCAGCTGGCCCGTGTCGCGCTTGTCGTCCTGGCTGTTGAGCTCATCTGCAGGCACAGAGGTTCTGTGCAGGGTCACTGTGACCCACATTCTCAAATCCAAACAGTCCTCTTTTCTGCAGCTATACAGGCCACGAGCTTAAAAAAACGGATGCTTTTCCATTTTGACGTGCTGTTTTCTGTTAAATTAAAAGGATTTCTACTCCTTGAATGTGCAGTGCTTCTTGACATAAGGCCAAGGATGTTTCTGCAATTTGGGATCCAGCAGTTGCACTTTAGTAAACACTGTATTGGATTTTAATTTGTGAAAATGTATTACCAGGCTATCAAAAACAAAGAATATGGCTAATTGTTTTGTTTTGGGGGGGGTTTCACCCCTGGAGATTTAAAGATCAGTTTATGTTGTTTTAAGACATGAGAGGAAACTCGGCTGGAGTTTTCTTTGTTAAATCTTTGAGTTACTTTCTAAAGATCTTATCTTCAAGCATAAATTAGGAATACTGGGTGTGGCCTAGTGCCACAGATTAATAGCATCTTATGCGTGTGCGTCGTGCGCTGACGTATTGCTTGCCTTTGCCTCTCTCTCTCTTCGACACGCATCACCATATGATTGTCTCTCCCTCTCAGTCGCCATGTGACTCGTGGCAGAGAGGCTTTCACAGTCGGGAGTGCGATAATCCAGCAGCTGCGTAGCAGAGAGGGGGTACACGGGGAAGGGAGGGTCAGAGGAGGATGGGGTGGTGGAGGGGGATGCGCACAACAGAAAGGCTTACGTCAACTCAAACGAGTCATGCAGCAGCAGCGTGGCTGCCTGTAAAGACAGCCAACTGCCATTTTGCTGTGTGCGATGCACTCACACCATCCAGCATAGTAACATGCACACACAGCATCACCTTTAAATCGGCTGTAGCACATTTTGGTGCAGAATGCTACTAATGGAAATGACAGGATATACAAATATCTGAAGCGTGCATGCACTGCATTATGCAGTGGTAATTTTGTGCAACCACCCCCACCTTTGTACTCTTGTCCCCCCCACTCCTCTCACTGTACTTTGTAAATAATAGGCCATGTAACCATAAAGCAAACCACTTGCAGGCTGATCTATGCATGTGTTCAATTAGTGCATCACTGTTAATCTGTGTCAAGTTGCTACAGGGTGCAAGTGGGGAGTTTGCACTGCAGCTTGTTCTGACCTTTTTGTGAAGAAGCGATGGTGGGCAGGTTTGCTCCCGCTATCTGCAACTAAAGGTCGTTTGCAGCAGAGATTAAACGCTGCGTGATCACTACATCTGCTAGTTTGATTTAGCTCTTTCGCATTAATCCCTCAGAGTTCCCTTTAGGTTACGTTTAAATTTTAAAGGCGCCCATTTCCTGTTCCTGCTCTTCCCTTAAGTAATCCTACACCCATTAAGTAATAATTTATTTTTTTTCTCCAGGTGAAGGTTCATGCCAGAGCTTTCTTTCCAGCTCTGTGGATAATAGCCGCTGGTTGTTATTGTAGGTTTATCTGATGTGTCTAACGTACAATGCAAATCATTCATGCAACAGTAATCCATAAACAAAGGACTCATTCCTCGCTCGTGCTGCATGAAAAGGCTGCAGCGATGTTGCACCAGGAGCTGTCATGCGTCTCGACACTTGCTGTGACACAAAGTGTGGAAGTGAATTGATTTATTTGTGAAATGAAACGTTACTTGAGGTCAGGTTATGATTAAAAGGAGCCTACACGCCACATAAAGATTTTTCGGGGCAAGGCCAAACGCCCTCTTTTAATGTGTGCCTGTGTTTGTGTTTGCTTGTCTAGGATGAAGAAGAGGAAATTAAACTGGAGATCAATATGCTGAAGAAGTATTCCCACCACAGAAACATAGCCACCTACTATGGTGCTTTCATTAAGAAGAGCCCTCCGGGACACGATGACCAGCTATGGGTAAGCCCCTCAAATCCAGTGAAGACATTTAAAAAAATGTAAAGACTGCAGCACTGATGCTCACTTCTTTTACTAGCTTTCCTTTTTTATTAACTTTCCAGAACTAGGCGTATTTTAATTTTAATATTTTTTTTCATTGACTGTCTGTTTTGCAGTTGGTGATGGAGTTCTGTGGTGCTGGTTCCATCACAGACCTAGTGAAGAACACAAAGGGGAACCAGCTGAAGGAAGACTGGATTGCCTACATCTCCAGAGAGATCCTCAGAGTGAGCACATTCCCCCTTTTCTCCTCATTTCTCTTCTCTACCTTCTTTCACTAATATTGCATCTCCTCTACCCTCCTCAGGGTCTCGCCCACTTACACGCCCACCACGTCATCCACCGTGACATCAAAGGCCAGAACGTCTTATTGACGGAGAATGCTGAAGTTAAACTAGGTGAGTGACTGAGTTTTCATGTCTTTGATACCTTTTGATCCAATAAATGTCAGTGTCAACTTTAACTTAGAGATTCTCACTTGTTCTTGCCATGCAACACAAGACTAAAACATCTATAAAGTGCCCACCTCCACAGTTTCGGACGAACTGTAGTTTCTCAGGTGGCCACTTGAGGCAGGCAAAAGAATCAATTTTTATAAACGAGCATGTTAAAATACCAAACTTTATAGTAGTTATAAACATGTGTACTGAACGGTGCCAAAGACTATTTTAGCCCAGTGGTGTAGGTTTAAATATAGCTCAATATCATGAATTCCAGTAAGATTTAAATGTATGTATAGTTAATGGTTCCCATTCAGTGGTACTTAAAACAAAATGTGTAAACTTGACAACATAAACTGTTTTAAGTCTAGATTTTGCCAGCTACGGTGAATTACAGATGCAGCTTGCTAACCAAGCTAGCCAGTAATAGCTACATCTACCATTGAAAAGATTATGCTCGTGTGTAAGAAGGTTGAAAGCTATTTTCCAGCGGCCCGTTTCTCTTTCTTGACATCGAGTCTTTGAAGATGATCGTACAGCGTTTAACTGACTGTCTCCTTATCTCTCCAGTGGATTTTGGCGTGAGTGCTCAGCTGGATCGGACAGTTGGAAGGAGAAACACCTTCATTGGGACACCTTACTGGATGGCCCCAGAAGTCATCGCTTGTGACGAGAACCCAGATGCAACATATGATTACCGAGTAAGATTCTCCAGCGTCTCGAGCGTTCAAAACCTGACTTCCTGTAACCACCGAGGTGCATTATTCTTGTGAATGGCTTTCTTATTGGGCGTTTTCTTCTCTCGCAGAGTGATCTGTGGTCCTGCGGTATCACGGCTATTGAAATGGCTGAAGGAGCGCCCCGTGAGTGCCTGTTTCTCTTATCATTTATGTTTTTTCTTGATCTTTTAATCCTCTTGAATCTTTAACTTTTTTGCAA